CACCGTAGGAGGAATCCGAGCCGACTTCCTCAGTAACACCACCTCGGCATCGGTCATTGAACTAGGTTCACCAGGGAATACCGCGTCGGTGTCGGCCCAACGGCAGGGAGGTCGATTCCAGTAGCCTTCGCGGAGGGAATGGTCCTTCTCAACCTCGGCGTCGCCTTCGTGGTTGTTCCTCTTAAGGACTAAACGTTCGGCCAATACCGGGTCCCAACTTTAGTACCCTAATGCCAACTCCACGTCTACCTCCTCGTCGGAGGAAGATTCGCGGGCCACCTCGTCGGAAATCCTCCGACTACTACTATCAACCGCTTGCTCCGCCATTGCTTGGGCGACGGGCAGAGTTTCGAAGAAAGATAAGAAGAAAAAGTACAAGGATAGAAAAATAAAGATAGACTAAAGAACTCACCACGAACAGACGACAAAGTCAGGGATGTCGGGAACCGGAGATCAAAAGAACGAGGAACAATAGGAGTGAAGAGAATGAAAACAAGATTCAGAGCAAAAGACAGCGTGATTCAGAAAATTGAAGGAGAGGGAGTATTTATAATAGGACAATATGACTGTTATGGAGAAACTGACGCTCACAAACCGTCACCATTGAAGGCAAAAAAAACGGTCAGCCTAATCTCAGCGGTCACACGTGGGCAAATAAAAAGCTACCACGTGGGAATACCGTCAGAGATCGTGGGAACGTGTAGCAAGGGGACGTAATCGCTCGAAATCGGTGGGACCAGGCGCGTCGCTTCGTGGAATCACGCACCAGATCAAGAGAACAACGAGTCTCGGATGAAAAAGGATCACATTTTTTTTGGCCAAGTACGAGAAGTCGGTTGAAGCGTAATAATGGAAGTGCCGACGTAGGACATAAGGTGGACCATCACATATGTCCCCCTCAATGTCAGGGGCCTCAATGTTGACATAAAGATCTCCTCGACCGTCGGATGGACGACACGTGGATTATAGCAATGGAAGAAAATCGCGCTGAAACGAGAAAAAGGGAAAGGTCTACCGAGCTGAAGGAACCTCGGGAGAAACCCGACTTATGGAGGGCCGACCTCGGGTCGTCGGAAGACGCATTAAATGCCCATCCAATCAATCGTCCTGACCCACGTGCAGGTATCATTACCGGGGGGCCCACCGACGAGAAAAGTTGTGCCCAAGTGTCATTCGCAATTAATGCCGCCGATTCTCCTCAAAAGAAGAGCCTGCAGTTACTATAAATAGCAACATTAAACACAATACGAGGATCTTTTTTGGGGGGGGACACATTAAATTCGGTATTTATAACCTCGGTACAAGAATAATTAACGGCAATACAGACTGACAAAAACCCGACCTCAAGTCCGAGATACCGACTTGAGCCTGTTGTAACGTTTCCCCAAGTTTTATCACAAAATCATTTCATTTCCGTACAACTCCAAGCGATCGATAGTTAAATAAGGTTGATCAAATCCATTTATCAATACAATGGTTATGCTTCATTTGCCTTTTCTTAAACTACATTCCATTCACATTTAATCTAGGCTAATAGAAAGTGTGTATATAATTAAGAAACTAAGGTATGTAAAAAAACCAATTATCATATTTAAATTCACATGTAAAGCTTTCAAACGTTGTATATCCTTCCCATATATAATTGGCGAATGCGTTGACCTTACGTATCAGTCCCGCACGCTTCGTAATTCTATATGACAAAAAAATCATGCTTCGTTTCTAGGCTTCAATGTATTAATATTTTTATAAAATAATAATTAGGTTTGGATTCCATTAAATACCTATATTACTAACATTAAACCTATGATTGATTTCTTCCTTATTTTCTTATACAAGTAGTTACCATAAACAATTTTACGTTTATTTTTTCCAACATTACCATATATTACATTTTCTTTTTTATTTAATTCATACACCAATTATTATAAATGTGTCTTCTTCTTATTTTTTTTAAAATTTCATAACATTTTTGTTTATGTTTTGTTTTTTTATATATGATATATCAGATTAATTATCTTATAAAGATATTTAATTTGACATCCATATTACATATATAAAATACAAAACAGTGATATATATCCTTATAAATAAATTTTAAACTAATTTATCAAACTAAATTAAAAAAAAACTATTAATTATCTTCTGAAACAATAGAAATTGATTTATAACCTACCATAAAAGATTTTTATAAACTAAGTATGAACATAAAATAAATATAAAAATATTTTACATATATCTCAACTTAAATAGAAACTACAAATAAATTGAACATTATAATGACATTAAAAATTAAAAAATATGTTAAATATAATTAAAAATAATAAAAATAATTATTATATTTGATAAAGTTTAAAAATATTACACACATGCACATTATATTGAATTATTAAAATATTATAAAGTTGAAAATTTTTAAAAAAATGGTTGATGATGAAAGAAAATTATGTATATAAAATATTAATCAGACTTGGAAAAATTTAAATTAATTCAAAATAAAATTAATATAAATATATATATATATATGTGTGTGTGTGTGTGTAATATAAAAAAATAGCATTTTAACACATCGAGTGTAAAATATAGGTATTATTTTAAATAATTAACTTTGTTAATTTTTTATTTATTATTTATATACTTAATTTTTTATCAATATATTATAAGAATATAAATTTCTTTACTTATTTATATACAAATATTTTATTTAAAATTTAATGCATTGTTCACGGGTGTTACATTAATTGCATAATAAATTAATTATTCTATCTAATCTTGAAAAAAAATGATTATATATTAAATAAAATAAATAATATTTCATATAAAACATTTTATAGAACTTAAAATAATATTACAATTTCTTTTATTTATTATGAATTATTTATAATTTTTATTTCACAATAAGAATTTTATTTCGTTTCCATTCTTTGTTGCACAATTAATTTTTTTTCTAAAAAACCCGTGTAGTTCATTAACGTTGTACTAATAACATGTAATTTACTATTACATGCATGCTAGTACACACTAAAAATGGGCAAATTCATGCTTGTGTACCGGATTCATAGGTCAGATACAAAGGCTCTAAAGAGAGAGAAACAGAGGAGCAAAAAAAATCCCCAAATCCCATCCCTTGAACCCTAGTCTTCCGCCTCTGTAGGTATGACTCCCCTCCGGCAGCCCTAGTTTCTGCGGCCCCGGCGAGAAGTTGGTTCGGCCTGGGCTTGCCGGCCCGCAGCTATGGCGGGCCCTCGGTTCTTCCTCCCGAAGTGGGTCGTCTCACTTACTGAGTGCCATGGTAAGCGAGTAGCGTGGGGTTTCGCCGGCGGCTGGGCTCCAACAGACGTTAAGAGCTCCTTTGCGGAGGTTCATGGCGCCGATCTAGACTTTGTTCTCCCCTTTCTGGCTTTCTCTGGTGTTGGGAAAGTTCGGTCCTCTGGTGGCACGGGCGTGGCTGTGTGTGGGCTCCGGTGTGTGTGGGTTTGGGCTGTGGAGTGGACCAGCCTAAGCGGATCTGCGGATTCCCGAGGGCAGTTGTTGGATCTGTGGTCCGGTTCTAGTTAGTCCATTATGAGAGTTTCTGGTGCCGTCGTGTCTGGGTTGTAGTTGTAGTAGCTTCTCTCGGGTTCGCATTTAGTTGTTAGCTCGGGTTGTGTTGGTGCTTGGTATTCTTATTTGGAGGGGAGGACGTTAGATTTTGTTGCGTTTTTTTGTTCTGCTTTCTGTTTTGTTTGTGCGTTTTTTGGTTAGTTGTGTTTTTAGTTATGTGTGTTATTTTCATGCTGGGTGTTTTTAGGTTGGCTCTAGGGTGCCTCAGACTAGCAGCCTATGGGGTTATTCCTCCCAACTAGATTCAGCCAAGTATCTGATTTATTCGGTTATTTAGTTGTTTTCTAATTTGTAATTATGTGTTTTTTTTTTTTAAATAAATCAATCGTTGGAAAAAAAAAAAAGTGTTCGAAAATTTTTCTCTAACTCACACCCGTATTGTGTATATTAACTAAAATGTAGGTACAAATTACCGACTCACACCCGTATGGTATATATTAACTAAATGTAAGTATAAATTATTTCAGAGTTTTTTTTTTTTTTCAAACAATAATTATATTAAAAACTCAAAAAGAGTACACACGAGATGTCAAAAGACATCATAAGAACCAAAACAAAGTCTAAATCAACCCCCATACAAGGTATAGATCGACCCTGTTTGAATTACATAAACAACTAAAAGGATACGAAAACCCAGAACCAAAAAATTCTATAAAAGAAACTAAAACTCCATAAAAGAGACTAAGAAACTCCACAAAAGAGAGTATCAATACCCATAAAAGAAAACAAAAGCTAACACCTACAAACAATAAACAATCGATTACAATATCCCCTTCTCGGGCGCGCCGCATCAACCATCCAAAGCAGCCCACAAGCTAACCCCCACAACAACCAAGAGAGCTGCAAATCTGAGACCCCATAACCAAAAAAATTGTGAAGGAGGCGAGTCTTCTTTGGAGATCTTCAAGAGTTATCAAATGCTTTTGTCCTGGATGGCACATTCGTCCTGGCCTGGGGAAAGTGGAATGCAAAATGCAACAGAGAACTGAAATAGAAAATCCTGTACTGTAAAATATCACTCTAATTACAGCCTTACAGGACCACTAATGACACGAGGGCACGCGACAAAATCCTAACAGGGCATAAATTATTAAACATAACAAGGGGAAAGAAACATTTGAAGTCATACACACAATTCCAATACTTTCCTCTATCTTTTTTTTTTTTTTCCTTTTTCTTTCTTGGTTGTGTTTCTCCCAACTTTCAACTTACATAACCAGAAGCACAACACAACAAACATGATACAAAAACTAAACTATATCTCATCGCCCTACAAAACCTAGCCAGCCTAGAGTTTGAGCCACAAGCTCCACAAGTATCCCCCACCATCAAATGAACCGAATTTTGATTACCTCCTCCAGCCGGGGCATATTTGGCTCCTCCGAACACTACTTTTCGATTTATATCACAGAGCTGGCCAACGACAACTCATGAATTTCGCTCAGCATCCACTCCTCCCCCGTCTGGCCCCCGAGCACAATCGCCCTCGTTCCCCCCACAATGCACGTGCTGTGGCCCCATGCAAATCTCGGTGGCCTCCCGGGCACGTTCAGAATTCTCCATGTTGGCTTCTCCTCGGTTGGATCGAGTATGTACAGCTGGGAGGCAGAGTGGAGCCCAGCCACTGAGCCACCGAAAATGAGGATTCTCCCGCCAGGGAGGCTGACAGCCACATGGTCCAGCCTCGGGGGCGGGGCCATACCCCCTGGATTCGAGGCCCCCGGCATTGCATTCCCTGTAACGCAGCGCCAGCAAGGCTCGTCATCCCCCAGGTCCATCGTGAACACATCGCTCGACCGAAAACGCAGGGGTCCGCTCTTGGCGAGCCCCCCGAACATCAGGATCTTCCGACCCCCATAAACCGACAGCGTGTGGCCCAGACGCGAGGGTGGGGTCCACGCTACAGGGATCTCCCGCCATATGGGCTTCTCCATCGAGAGGTCAAGCAGGAACGTGTCGCTTAGGAGCACTCCCGAGTCGGCACACCCGCCCGACACGATCAGCTTGGTCCCATCCAGCGTGCAGGAACTGTGCCACGACCTCGGCAGGGGCGGGGCCAGGCTCGAGATCTCTCGCCACGTCGGCTGCTTCGCATCCAGGTCCAACACAAACACGTCGTTCAGCAATCCCTGCCTCCCGCACCCTCCGAACAACACGAGATGGGAGCCATTGACGCACGAGAGGGTGTGACCCCACCGCCCAGGGGGCGGAGACCCCACCTTCACGTGCTGCCATTCGGGGTTGCTCGAGTTGAGGTCGAGGACAAACGTATCGTTCATGGGCTGCATGTTTACTCCCTCACCGCCAAACAGGACGACACGGTTCCCGACCGCACACGCGCTGAAGTTACAGCGCGAGGGCTCGACAGCTCCCCCAACGACGAGCTTACTCCAGGCAGCCGCCTCAAGGGTCGTGAGCTCCCGCGCCAGTCGGCCCCACCCGAGCCGCTTGGCCCCCGGCACGGTCTCCAGCACCCGGGTCGTCTCGCTGCCCCATGCATTCTGGCACACCATCCGCCACAGATCCTCATTCCTTGTCAGCTGGTAGAACTGCACGCAAACGGACCCCACAGCAGCGATGTCTCTCGGCGTCAGTCGGGAGAGGATTTTCAGGGCAATTACCTCGTCACTCAGCTGCATGATACCGCAGACCCTGCGGCCCACGCAGCGGGTCCCTTCGAGGGAGGCTTCACTCAGGCTGGTGTTAAACCGGAAACGGTTTGACGGAAATGAGGGTTCCTTGGTGGAGGAGGCGGGGACTGGTCCCAGGTCGAGTGTAGCCTCAGTGAAGACCTGTATGCCAATGATGTGGGTTATAGTCTGGTCGTCTCCATATATGGGGGTCATGCGTAGTCTGTTCATGAGTGGGGACCCGTCTTTACGGAAGTTTAGTAGTTCGCCTTGGAATTCAACTCCTTCCTCGAGGCATCTCCTTATTTCGGCAACGACAGTGGGGTTCACGAGGGGGTGCCTACGCTTGGCAAACGGGCCTCGGCATTGCAAGAACCGGCTGTGCAGAATTCAAGAAAGAATCAAGATGTGAGCAGGCCGATTTATGTATTGTCTGGATAGAAAGTAGAGGGGAAAGAAAGAAGAAGAACCACCATTTTGAAGTTAATTTCTGATTGTTACCTAATATTGGCCACGAAAAAAAGCAAGAAAAATTATAATTACACATGGGCAAAATGGTCACAAAAATTGTTACCATGAAAAGAAGCTGAAATGTGAAATCAAAGGCACAAATTTTCAGGACGACAAAATTCAGCACATGAATAACAGTGGTGAAATTTCTGGCAAATTACAATGGTGGAGATTCTAAGAATACCATTCATGCCTCCAGTCGTACCCAATTCTAAATCAGCACATCAAGAAATATATATCTCCTCTCCCTATTACACGGTATCACTCTATGCATTTATGTTGTAATTGGGAGAATAATTTACATTTAACCACTGACTTATGAGTCAGCAAATACAAACAGTAAGTGGGTCTAATCAATTTCATTTACTGATACATTGATTTACACAACATGGTTCACCTTGAAACTGAATGTACATAGGAAAAATAACATTTGATTCAGAATTTAATATTAAGAAGGAAGAAAACCAGACAGCGAATATCAGACTCAAAACAACATATAAATTCCAATCACTACCTCGCCGAAAGCTTAATCTAGGTTTATCTCAGAATAAAAGAAAAGCGGGCTGGTTGACATCGAAGAACGACATAATTTTGGTCTGACATGTTCCGGCATATGTAGATGATATTATGATCCACTGTATAAACACAACCTGCTACTAGAACGATTAGAAACCTCTTAATATCACCAAGAAAAAAAGAAAAGAAAAATATAAAGTTCAAAATCAAACAGAAAGTTTAATCAAAAACATTTCCAGCCTGAAATTAAAAAGATAAAAATAAAAAGAAAAAAAAAATAAAGAAGGGATTTCTTTAAGAAAACCAAACATCAAATTCCAAAAATATTGGGTCATTGGGATCAAATTGTGCTGCAGAGCAAATGTCACACTTAGAAAGTTAGGTCCTTATGCAGCTTTACCTCACAAATAAGAAATTTTTGCAAAATGCACACAAAGTTCTACATTTGTTCTGACAACGCAACAATAACCAAGAATTCATAGTCTAATGAGTTTGTTCAACAAAACTAGTGAATAAAACTAAAAACACTATAGTGATGCGATTTCTGAAATTCTACCAACATGTGAACATGGGTTCATATTAGTTCACCGGCAATGTGCTGCTATGGGTTGGTGGCGAACTTGTATTATCTCTCGAAAAGGAGTAGTATTATCTTCAGTTTCAATTCCAAAACATGCGAGACTTTACCATGTCGACGGTAAATGTTACTATATCTAACATGAAGTCCAGTAAATGTTATAGAGCGATTACTTCAGATGGGCAGACAAGGGATATACTATATTTCTACAAAATCTAAGAAACTCAAAGATAAATTTACCTATCCTTGTGACTCTTTTCGAGAATAAGCACAAACACACAATACTGATGTGCTCTGGACTATCACCACAATCAACCATGGAAATCAGAAAAGACTAATTCGACTCATAAGTGTTGCATGATCTCGCAAGCATTAATATAAAATTGGAAATATCTTTTCGCGATAAAACTCTTCATTACTTTTGTAAAAGAATGGAATATACCCTCGTATTTCTTCATTATCAACACTACCACTCAACGGCAGTGAGCTTCTATCCCCCTTATCTCTTCAAGGATCTCTCAAGAATAAAGGTTTCTTTCCCCTAATCCCCTTCTTCTAGCATCACGTCATATTCTGTTCTACACCACCACCAGCAACAAAAATAATTTTTTTAAAGCTAAAAGACCTACTGCCTTTCCTTTATATATTAAAAACCTAACATAAACTTGATCACCTCAATATATTACATAGTAACTTGTATCATGAAGTCCAAGGAGATGATAGAATCTATTCACATCCCCCAACTACCAAACACACACAAACAGTGTCATCACTTTTGCCTCAATTACATCGAATCAAAAGACATGTTTTGCAACATTGAACAAAATATTTTGGAGAAGTAGGGATTCGGGAAGCACTAACCAATTACGTCCAAGGACCTCCTCCGCACGATAACCAGTAACCATCTCAAACACGGAATTAACATATATAATAGGGTGGTCGGACTCCAAAGCATCCGCTACAACAAACCCACACGGCGCCGGCTTCAGGAGCGTGTCCACCGGGAAAGGCAGCTGACCTCCGCCGCTCTTTCTCAACAGAAACCCTAATCCCTCTTCCTCCTCCTCGCCACCGCTCAGATCAGACTCCGAGTCACTATCCCACTCCATCACACCTCAACGCGCGCACTGCACTTTTCCGTCCTCTCACCCCATAGCACACCAAAATCAGACGATGGAAACACGAACAATCTGGGATAGAAAATTGAGATTCAGACAGTAGGGTTGGCTGGTGATTACGGATTTTCAGAAATGAGTGGACGAGATGCTGGGTTTGGGGGGTTTGGTTTGGGTTTGTTTTGTGAGCAAGAAATAACCAATCCTCATATAGATTGGTCTGTGCTCCTCCTTCGAAAGGACAACAATGGGGAAATAATGAGATTTTGAGGATGAAGGAGCAAATAAGGTTTAATTAGGGTAAATGGAATTTGGTTAATACACGGCATAGTATATGGTGGGTTGTGCATGAGACCCGGACCAAACTGCGAAAATTGAACCGAAAACGTTCTGAACCAAAATATAATCGTGAACTTTTGACATTGTCCAGATCGGACCGAACTAAACCGAACTAAATACGTAGTTGGTATGCAGAAACGGCCATGGGCCTAACTGGCCCGGTCAAACCCGTTGATCACAGGCTTTGAACAGACCTATGGTTTTACCCAAACCAGTTTAGGTTCATGTTTTTTTTCGAAAATTCAGTCGTGGGTTTCGAATCGGAACCGATAGTTTGACGAATTTGAAAATTGAATTTTTAATTAATTTTATTTTATTATTATTATTATTATTATTTTAATTTGGCAGTTCGGCCCAGAACCGGCAAATTGGTTATAAGAGCCAGTACCTGGACCATGTGCCAGCCAGGACGCTGGGCCCTCCAAGTGGGGTGGATTGTAGTATCCCACATCGGTTGTGAAGGAGAACGAAACATGCCTTATAAGTGGTTGTGGATACTTTCACTAGCAGGACGCGTTTCGGTGAGCTAGCTCCCATAGGCAAAACCGTGCGAGTGAGCGTGCCCAAAGTGGACAAAATTCTGCAGCGAGTGAACTGGGCTGTTACAGGTTTCGACACGGAACCAGCATTTGGCCATGTTTATTGATACTATTCTGGAGATTTAAAAATATTCATGCCGAGAACCGAACCGAACCATCTCATACCATACCGTAGCGAACCAAAAAACTGAAATTAAGGATCGAGTTACAACATTATATGTGTGTTGTTAATATATTTTATGTTAACTTTAATCCTATATAATTTGAGTATTTTAAAAATACTAAAATAAAATATAGTACTAACAATTAAACTTTCACTTAAATTTTATGGTTAATAATACTTTTTCAACAACTGAAATTTTTTCACTTTAAAAAATTATTTAAAATGGTATGAAATGTTAAAGAATTATTTTAAAAATGATTTGAACTTTACTTAAATTTTGTGATACTTTTTTTAGTCTAACTCTATCTTATATTAATTAAAATGATCTGAAAGATTAAAGAAACGTTTGTTTTTACAAAATATTATATTTTGTTTGAGTTTCAAATTTCTATTAATAGTTGCACAAATTTAATTTTAACTAAAAATTTTGAGTTAATTCTAAAATTGATTTCAACATAAAATCTTTAAAGTATTAACGAATGTTGGATTTTTTTTTTAAAAAAATAAGTATAACAAGATAATCATTCAAAAGATTTTAAAAATAATTATAAATCTCCAGAGCTCCGACTGAACTGTTCCAATAGTCTCCAATTCCAAATCGAACCCAACCAAAAAAAATAAAAATCCCCGAACCGAATTGTCACATTATTTAGTACCGTTCTGAAGTTTAAATTAGTGATTTTTTAATTTTGGTATGATTTCAAAGATTTCTCAATCTTCGAACTGTACTGCTCACCCCTTTTTTTTTTTACAATGAAAGTAGGCCAGAGACTTAGAAGATTAAGCTAGAACACGACGGGGGTAAGAAACCCCCGCAAGATCATGTTGAAGCCATGTCCCCAGGCCAGAGGGGGGAGACGAAAGGCGTTGTAACCCGACCGATGAAGATGCCGCTAAGCCTGCCAAATGATCCGCCGCAAAATTAGCTTCCCTATGAACATGTTAGATCTTAACGTCCCATTCTCGATCGTACAGGCTCCGAATGGCCCTAACCAGGGTTACATGGGTCCCAAACCTATCCACCGGGCCATGAATCAACTGCGTGTCACACTGACTATCTACTTCAGCAATGACAAGACGGAATCCCAAATCCCACGCCAGGAGCAGCCCTCGTATGAGTCCCTAAAGCTCGGCACCCGTAATAGTGCAGTAACCAATGTTCATAAGATAGCCTGCTCTCCATCCACCAAACTCGTTTCTAATTAAGCCACCAGCGCTACTCAAACCAGAAGGGGTATCGAAGGCTCCACCTGTATTAACCTTTACCCATCCCGTGTTCGGCGATACCCACCGAATAAATCGGGTAATGTATAAAGAAGCCCCAACACGAGCATATGCTTCAGTCGCCCGACTGTAGGTGTCCGTGAAACGCACAACTTCAGTAAGCCTCGCGTCACAACTCAGAAATTGATGGTTGAAAATTCTATCGTTCCGCCACGTCCATAAGCGCCAAACGATAAACGAGAACATGCTATTCCAATGACGGAAAGGTCCCAGCTGCATGATGACCAGATTAAGTTGAATCCAAGCCTTGAGGGACAACGAGAAAACTCACTCACCTGGTCCAACGGAACTAGCCGCATCCAAAAAGCCGTGGCAGCCCTACAATCCCTGAGTGCATGTAGCAGCGTCTCACATTCCCCACAAAAGTCACAGTTCGC